CGGACGTTTTGTCTTTCCCTCGCTCGAAGGAGTGCGTTGGTCGTGGTATCGTTATTGTTCCTGGTGTCTCGACCTCGACTTCGACTGCCCGGCGCACAAGTCCAACTAACTTACTATACGCAAGCATCTTGCGCTCGACGTCGCTCAGGCCGTCCGCCCATGCCGCCATGTTGGTCGGGAATCGACGGGAGAGCGGCGAGCCTGGCGAGCCGGCGAGCGCCGGGGAAACGGAAGCCAGAAGCACCCAACCGGAAACCAACGCCACTCCGAATGACGTCACAGGCGAAGCTGGTGCCGCTTCAATGTTGAGTTGAGGGGTGGCAGAGATACCAATTTCTTTTATTTTTTTAATGAAAATTAGGGCAAGCAGGAGAGAATAGTTTTCGGTCCTTCGTTTTATATGTGGCCGGGATCAATTCCCGCAATTAATTAGCCAAAGTCCGCAAATTGTTGCACCACCCCTTAAAAAATGGCCAGTATCGAATGGCTATCTAAAAAATGCGGCGTGGTCATTGCTCATGTTTTGCGTTTTAAGTGAGGTGAGGCAAAGCGAAAGCCTCCTGCACCGTTCATTGCTGACTAACGCACCCGATATTGCAGCTACAACGACGTATTCTAAAGCGAGCGGCGCTCACTCACTGGAGCACCGCCATGTTTCGCCGCCGTCCTTACTCCGCCCGGTCACGTGACCTGAAATTCCCCCTCATAGGGAAATGCGGTTAACTTCTAACCGCGGTTGGAGTTAATCAGCTTCGAGCAAATGGTTCCAGAGCGCATACGTGATTAGGTGAAACACTCTCAGAAAAAAAGAAAGAAAAAAAAAGTTTATATATTCCTTTATAAAGGCAGACACGACCTTGAAAGCTATGTTCCTTCGAAAAAAAAAAAATAAACATTTGTGGCAGGGGAGCAAAGTTCTTCCCTCGTCTGTATCTCATTATGGCGGCTTTGAATTGAGCGAATCGAGAGCAATAAGGCTTAATGATGACCCTAGGTATATTGTCGGTCTTTACATGCAACGCTTCCGCAATTCAGCCGAAAATACTCGACAGGGTCTTAAGACAATGTTAAACCTCAGGCTCATATGCGTGAAAATTAGTCAGCTGCTTTTCACCCATTTCAGTAAGCCACTGCTTTCGTAGCGAGAGAAGTAGCAAGTTAAAACATACCATGAAGATTTCACGGACTGTATTTGTTGCCAAAGCCAGCTTTCCGCGCAGGTAAGCAAACTTGCGTTTTCAGCGCAGTTGCTCAGTCCTCTCGCTCCCAACACTGTGGTGTTAAACGGGTAGAACCGAAACCCGGTCACTTCGCGCAACACCGCACGTCACGGAGGAGTTGTAAACCATTCGGGAAACCAAAACCCTCTATCAAAAGAGCTAATTCAAAGCAGCTTACATTGCACGACAACCAATGAATATCGCGAAGCGTGAAAGGAGGTTAAATAGCTCGCCACAAGATGAATGGATGGATGAAAAACATTTATTGAAACCACATTAGTGGGTTTGGTAGTGCTTTGGCATAGCCATTTAGGAGAAGTTTGTAGTTAGAAAGCTTCACTGATGCATGTTTTCTCCAAAAAGGAGATTACAGATTTGAGCAATGTACAATGTCGGATTTCATTTTCCTTCGGCTTTATCTATTCTTCGACATTCTGGTGTCCTTCCTACAATGATGATATTAATTTCATTTTTGTCTTCTCTGAAATGGGCGTAGTTCTAAAGAATGTGTTTTATGTCGGGTTGCTCCTTCTCCCTGCAGAATGGACATTCTGGCGAGTCTGAGTCAAAGTTCGGTTCCTGCTTCGTATTTTTGTTGTTTTCCCATTTCTTGCGGATTTATGATGTTAGTGCACTGCCCGTTCTCATTCTTGACCTTTCGCCCGTGTTTTTCGGCGTACTTCGTTCTTTCTCGGCACGTAGGACTCATTTTCTTGGGGATGGGCACGGGCGATACTTTGTTGATGCGTTTCCAGGTTGTAATTTGCTCAGGAAAGTTTTCCAAGTTTACCATATACCTTCCGAGCAGGTTCATGATGGCTCGTCCGGGTGGAGTGTGCATCATTTTGATTTGATGGATTTCCTCTTGTTGTCTTCGTAGTTTATCAAACGTTTGAAAAGAAACGAATTTATGCAATTCGTCGAGATTCACGTTTTACGGAACTGCTACAATGCTTCTTCTTGCGTCATTTAAGAGTCGTTCTAGTCTACTACATAATAAAATCAGATCCCGTACATGACTTTACAAATCAGCAGAGTTCGCGTTAATGATTGGGTTACTGCTTCTCATGCACCTGCAAGTCTGCTGGAGATCATTCTTATAAGTGCCGTTCCCTGTTTTCAAGGTTTGTTTATTTTTTTGTTGCCATGCTGCTGCACCGTGTTTTTGTATTTATGATGATTCCTGTATTGAGCTGTCCCTTAGTGTTTTCAATGGGTTGATTGTCGAAAGTGAGTTTGACCTCTTGGAGTGCTCCTTTGCCAAATATCATATACTGTTTTTCTCTGGGGAGGGTGTCAAGCTGATCCGCTGATGGTAGGTTTTTGTCGTGTTCAGTCCTTTGGGTAATCAATCGCTGATCCCAGTGGCGCCCTCTGTTCGTTTAACTGGTTATATCATCTTCATGTACTGTGAATTGCAGGCCAGTGATTTTGCCCATGGCAATATTCAATGAGGTGAGTGACAGCATCGATCCTTGAGGGACGCCGACGTTATTTATTTTGACCGAGTGCTGCCCTATTGTTATGGCATATCGCCTCTCTTTCAGAAAGCCTTTCACGATGATTAAGAGGTCTCCCTAGTGAACAAAATTATTTGTATAAAAAATGTGTTGGTCAGACAAGCGCATATGATAATATAAAGTTTTATAAGAACATTAATAACCATACGAGAACATAGAAAATGTAATATTAAGTTATGAGAAGCTTCTTACATGTTTTTTATAGCTTCTTATATGTTCTTATAATGCTCTCATATGTTCTTGTATGATGTTATTTCATCATTTGCGCTCGTTGAATTAAGACATTTTTAATACAAATAAGATGTTTTACTATGGTTACTCGTTATCTCTTCATTGAGGCTGTTAAAAATAAATTCGTGGGGTAAGCTGGTGGAAGCTTTCTTTATGTCCGCAGCTACGAGCAATCTTACTTAGTAATATTAATGTACAGTGTTGCCCCTTGGTGGATGAGAAACAAGGCTCTTTTTAGTTTCTGGGTGTTTGTGGAAGCCGGTGTGTTGTCGGGTGGTATGTTCTTTTTTGTCGGGCAGTTCAGTCTATTCCGCCAAGTACAATTCTCTCCATCAGCATGTATAAAATAGACGTAAAGGAATCTGTCGTGTGTTCTGAGGTACATTGGGTTCCTTGTCTTTTTTGAATACGGGAGAAACATGTGAAAGTTTCCCGTGTTAAGTAAGTGACCCTTCGTTCCATATTTTGTTTGTCCATTCCAGCAACGCGTTTCCACTCATCGAGACACTATACGCCGCAAAGCGGCAGACGCGTGCACGACGCAAAACTTTCTCGCAGCAACGCGGACACGAACTAGGTGGCGCTGCGTGAATCCACTACACTATACTCGTTGTCACGTCTAGAAAAAAGAAAAAAAGTTTTGCGCATTGTTCATACGGCGTGTAAAGTAGTTCTTAGATTTTTTTGTCCAAGGAAGAAGCGATAGTTTTGGCATTTGAAATGGTAATGTCTTGCGGAACCAAGGCCAGCCCAAACGTCAAAGCTGAATCTTGCAAAGCCATGCGTGCGTGCGTGTGGTGTAAGCGTTGTAAATGGAAAAAGGGGGAATGGGCAATGTCATTTTTCTTTCCAACAGCGAGGCGTTCCTTAAGGGGTATTCACACGAGGTATCCCGGCACGCGCAAGGGGTATCCCGGCACGCGCAAGGGGTATCCCGGCACGCGCAAGGGGTATCCCGGCACGCGCATCCCACGATGAAAACGTCAGGCTTTACGATGTGCAAAAACCTCGCGTTTTCATCTCGTGACGCGCGCGTGCCGGGGTAGAAATCCCCGGGATTTCTCCCTCGTGTGAATACCCCTTTATCGCCTGGCTACGCAAGCGCGCTACACTTCTTTGTTTTTTACTAGAGAGGGAAGGGAGGCGGTCGGGCGGGCGTGCGAGACTGGCGAATTGTCTGGCCTTGGTTGTGCGTTTCGGCCGTTACAGGGCAGGACAGCTGCCGCCAAGATGCGCTTGGATAAGAATCCAAAACCAGAATACGCAATACCTTGGAATACGCGTCAGAATTTGAAGGGTTTTTCAAAACATGGTAAAATGTTTGGCATACGTTATACGTGTCTAAAAAGGGTTGATATCGGTGTTTTTCATGATGCCCGGTAAGATTCTAATTGAATCTATGGACTTAAAATAAACAAATAAAAAGTTAATTTCTTAAAAAAAAAAATTTCTGAACGTTAATATTTTTTCCTAAATAGGCTCTTGGGAAGACACCAACACGGCATAAACCTTTTTTCTGTGCGATGCTTAGTTTTCGCAGGAGCGATTTGGCCTGCGTTCTCTGAAACGCCATATATATATATATATAATCTAAAATGAACCTACATATATCCTAATTCTTCACATAAAGGGGGAAATCAGCAGTGCTGCGCAAGAAGCCGAACTTTTTTTACCACGGTGTTTGAAGTAAAAACGAGTAAAGTGATGACGTCAGAGGAAAAACTCAGCTTGTCGGCAGCATTAAAGTTTCACCACACAGTGTTTAGACTGGCAAGATTTGGAGCTCAGCCCTGGTTCACTGACACGCGTCGGTCTTTGACGCGCCACAGGAGCTGCTCCGGATTTGCGGCGTCTCGGACGCCGTCTACTGGGCCTCCATGTTCCTCAGCAGCATGCTGGTGATGTCGCTGGTGGCGCTGCTGCTCACCAGCATGGTCAAGCTGCCGATGTTCTGCGCACTCGCGGTGCTGCCTCACAGCGACTTCAGCCTGGTGCTCGCCATGATGCTCCTCTACTCCGTGTACAGCAACCTCTTCTGCCTCCTCGTCAGCTGCGTCGTCAAGACACGTGAGCTGAAGGATCTTCGTGTCAACTGTTATCACTGACCGATTACCGTTACACAAATATTTCGGGCAATACATTTTTGCAAGTACGGTGTCAGGACGCCGCCATCTTGGCCATTGGGGTGCGCAATGGGAGCGGCCATAAGCCGAAGGTGTCGTAATCGGAGTATGACGCGCCCAATCGCATCCCAACTGAGCAAGATGGCGGCGCCCTGAGGCCGGACTTGCAAACATGTATACAAATCCTATCGACATTTTAACTCTCATTCAGTCGCGTCGCATCGATAATTTTCAATAGGCTTTCTTCGGACCGAAGTCCATGAAGTTTAGACGATACAAATGGCATAGAGTTTCTATCGACACGTCTAAATAAAAGTTCTGTCACATTATTTTCATAAAAATTCTTTAGACTAGAATCGATCGAATAATAAGATGTGGTGTGGACAAGCGACGTCAAACCCAGTTCGTGCCTCCATGCGGAGACTGTTTTTTTCGACTGTCAAATAATTATCGTCTCTTGGAATGCTTTATAGTTGGAGATCCACTTACAACCCTTATAAACCATACTTCGTTTAGAATATATAAAAAAAAGCCACAGCAGCAACATACTTGTAATCTTTTTTTTTTTATCCTCATGGATGGTCCTCGTTCAAACGATTGCCTTTCAAGAGTAGGGTATGTATAGCTGTGGATCAGCCTATAGTACCGAATCACTATAGCTTTGTAAGTGCTTTGTGTCGTTGATATTTGTAAAAGGATTCGAGCGCTCATAACTCTAGTAACTTTTTGATATTAACTGCTCCGCTGGGAGTGAATTACAAATGTAAGTAACGTGTAAATGAAACAGTTTCGTTAACAAAAAAAGTGCTCCCTGCCTTGTGTATTTGCGATGTCGGCGTATGTGCACACGGCACGTGTTGTGTTAAAGTTTCCATGGATGCACTGTTACAAGCTTAAAATTAATGTTTGAAATTAATTTTTTTTTCGCATGAGAGACGGACCTACATTCTCGTTAGAAAAGAGATAGAAACGTTGTTGGAATTTCTATTTGTTTTCTATACGACTTCTATGCAATTAGCAAGTTATATATAAAGTACACATAAAAACAGCTATGGAGAGTAGATGCAAGAGTGGATACATTTTCTTTAGAATATTGATAGCCTCTACACCATGTACCATAGCAATTTTATAGAAAATTGGATAAATATTTTTAGCAAGGGAGTGGGGAGTCCTGGACATCTTATTATCTCTCCGGAGTGAGGCATTAGCAGATAAGAATGCCGAAGAGCAAATCACAAAGTAAGAAGTTTGAAGATGAAAACCCACGCCCTGCGCTTTTATAAGGTTGTCGGTGACCCTCGTGTGTCGGCGTCTGCAGGTTAACCCTCCTGAGGGGTATTATACGTTGGCGATTTTCGGCACCTGTTTTTGAACGCACTTGCATGGCGTCCTTCCTGTTCGACACGGTGCGGAAATGTGTGATAGGCCCGTGTTGGGTCATTTTGGCCCGACTTGCATCGGCCAAATGCCGGACGCCGGCTATCCGCGTTCTGACGCGTTCGACAAATGCAGTGGAGACAAAGGCAGTTCTAGCTTTCCGTCTACCCACGAATGACGCCAACCAGAGCCCGGCGCTCTGACGTCCCCACGCTCTCTCAGCTCCTCCTCTCCCTCAGTTTCTCGGCGCATAGAGTCGAATGAACCCGCCTCTCCAGGTTCACTGGCCTTCAATATTATGTCCACCGCTTTACTGTCCTCGAAAACCGCCCCTTTCTTAATATAGCAAGTTGAAAACATCCGGGAAAACCTATAGTTGGAATTTTCGCGGATTTAATTTTAATCCGCAGATTTGCCCCTCATAAAATGAGAACGTCTTGTTTCTTCCCAATTACAAGGAGCCTGATACTAATTGATACGTATTTTTTGTAACCCTCTAGAACAACCTTTCGTCTCTCCTCATCCCATAACCTCTGAGGTTCTTGGCGCGCAGAGCTCTTCTCCGGCCGTTCCGTTAGCCCTGAAAGACAGACGTACACAGGGAAATGAATAGTTTGCGGCTGTCTTCGACGCAATAAGGTGCTAGGTTCAGAGCCACAATTCATCATCATCATCACGCTTGCTTGGCTAGCGTCCCGAAGTGTAATAATGCGCTCGTTTGCCCGAATCCTACTCGCTGCTTCTCACCACAGCACGCGTTACTTTTTCAAGAAAGCGGCATACGTTGATATTTGCGTCTTGCTCGTATAGAACCGTAAAATATGTAGAAGAAATGTAGGTCCGATTATTTGCAGACGAACTGCGCGTCAAGTCACTTTGGTCAAGAAGAGACTGGCGAGTCGATAACGGGTTTCAATTAAACTTTTTGTTTTCAAAATACCATATTTTTTTTTTGTGAGACTGGGTAGACGAAACGCCTTGCGCTTTCATTATAGCCTTGCAGATCGCGTTACTAAATAAAAGAAACGCTTTTTCTGCTGGGAAAACGAGCGTTTGCCCAGCAGCGTTTGGAAGGGCCAGAAGAGATCTTTGCGCTCCAAGAATCTCAGAAGCAACGATCATCACTTTGAATGTTTTGTACGAACCGCTAGAGCCCGCCTTGTAGACGAGTGGAGAAGATGTTTATCGCTGCTATTAAAAGATGGCGCCACACGTGCCGTTATGTTTCTACCTGCGATTGACCCCACATAGCCACCCGACCACCGGAAGGATATTTTCGATTTGTTGCTTGCCTTCGTACCTGGCAGAGAGCCTTCCCTATAATTTTCTCGCCCTCTCTGAATAAAGGTGGCGATGCGGGCGAGCTGGTTCATGCCTATATGGATGCGTCAGCCAGACGTCCGTTCATCTGCATTCAAAAGAAATGGAATTTCTTAGTTTTCAGCGACTGGTAGGTGTAGAAAAAAAGGTCAAGCGGCTCCGATGTCTCAGATGAAATGTCTTTCATCACGCGCGCTCGCGGCCACATCACCGTTTGTGGATGCCGATGGTGCTGCAAGCTTAAAAGGAAAATAGAAAACAACCAAGTGTCAAGCACGTCGCCCCTCAGTAGGTTAACGTGCCATTCCCTTGTCTTTTAGCTTGTCAATCCCACGTTTGGCCTTGAAGATGTTAGCTTTTGGTTCATACGTGTCTCGTTTATTTTAATGATAATGGTTGTTGGGGGGGCGGCTTTTTGACTTTTGTTTCTTCAATAAACTTTCATTTGTCAGTCAGCGCTCGTCCCGTCCAGTTGAACTCGTCTTTGTGTTTTTTTTTTTTTTTTGCGCTGTTTGTTTACACACTTTTTCTAAATCTTTTCCTCCGTCTGTTTTGTCGCATCTCAATGTCCCCATGCCACTGTCTCGGATAACTAGTAAAAGAAGACGGCGGTTCACTTAATTTTGATGAAAAAAACAAAGCAAGAAACGAAAAAAAAAGAAAAAAAAAACACGTTAGAACAAAAACATACCGGCGATTGACAACTTTCGCCCCCTTCAAAAAGCGCGCTCACGAAAACTACTACGGCAGCCTGTGACGGCGATACGTTCTCAAAAGTATAGTATAGTTTAATTTAGGTGGGTTTGCAAAAAGTCTCCAGGAAGATTGCAGATAGAAAGCAGGAAGAGAATGAGAGAGAGACAGAGAGAACTCCGTGCCGGGTAACGAATTGTTGCCGCGAACACGCTCTCAACACACAAACTCGATCCGTTTTAAGTCAAACAGCACGTCCTGGTACGAGGTCCATACGGTCCCTTATAGCTGAAGAAAGGCAGGGCGGGGGTCGGGGTCGAGGAGAGACCCGACAAGCTTCTTATTGCTCCGCTGCCAACGAGATTGTGGCCTTAGTCGATATAAGATTGCAGAAGAACCAATCACGCCAGCCAGGAGCGTAAACCTAACAAAATTGCGCAATGAGTGTGTTTAGAAGGCCGGAAGTTGCTCAGCCTCAGCGGGCGTCTGGTGTCTCAGCGGAGAAATTGAGCTAGTGCAGTAAAACCTCCAGCCTCGGGCCTTTGACGTGCACTTCCACGCAGTAGTGATACAGGACCAAGCGCCGGTATGCGATGCTCATCCAGATCGAAATGGGCAGGAGTCGGGATTAAACGTTAGGGACTTGGTTGGACCATGGGTTGAACCCAGAATCAGCGGGTCCTGCAGCGCGAGGTGTATGTATGTGTCAATCGAATTAATTATTTCATAAATGGGTAAATTCTATAATTCATTGATAGATTCTGACATTAATAACTTAATATATTAAATAAATGCATAAATGAATATATAAAAAATGAATAAGTAAATAAATAAATAAATAGATATTCTCGTCGACGGCCTGTGTCCTTCGTTCTTCCAGGAAGAGCCATTTTCCCAAGCTGATATGAATTGGCGTCACCGTAGCGTAATCTGAATGCGAGCAATTCGTAAAGGGCCGCCCAGGGATGTGGATACGTTGCGCGTGTTTCTCTTCCTCTTGGTGCGCAGCGGTTTTCGCGGTCTTCGCCACGGTCTGCCTGTGGATGCTGACGTACGAGTTGCCGCTCTTCTTCATGGACGTGCCCGGATCAGTGGCTTACTCCGACCTGACGCTCGATCAGAAGCTTCTGAGCTCTGTCTTTCCCAACGTGGCCATCCACTGGATCTTCCGCATAGTCAGCCTCCACGAAGAATACAGTTGAGTCGAACTACAGAATGGAAACTATACGCTTTTAAGGGACTTTAGACGGCCCACAAGAAACGGTTCCTGAACTTATCGCATTTCGATTTACTACAGAGGGGAAATCAGATATTAAAAGTTCGCAGTGAAAGAAGAAAAGAAGAAGAATACAGAAATTTGTTTTGGGTAATGGACGCCCCCTCTTTGCAGACGATACACGAACAGTGAGAAGTGCTGCCGACAGGTGGCTTACGCCGCGTTGAGAAAGCGCCGGCCGATTCGGCGTCTTTTGCGAAATCGTTTGCTGTCATAACCAGAATCGGCCTGCGCTTCGCTCCCATGGCGCGGTGTGCGCCATCTGTCGGCAGCACTTCTCACTACTCGTGCTTCATATGCGCAGTGGCGGCGTAGATTGCTCAGAAGAAACGTTTTTTTCTTCTTTGAAACGAGCCAAGTTTATTGCTTGGCTGTAAACCTTCACCACCTGCTTGCACCTCTGTCGTAAATCGCAGCGCGATACGTTGACAAACCATTTTTTTTTTGCGGGACGTCTAAATTGTTTTAAAGGCGTTAGCCTACATGGTGTATAATACCTACCCGATTTAAAGTTCATAAGATAAATGCCGACTTAAAACATTTTTTTATATAGTCCGCACCCTTAAACAGTCGGCGTCGCGTGAATGTTTATTTTTAAACATGTATACAGGGTGAAACAAGGAGACGCCAGGCTCTTTAAATCGACCGGAAAATTCGGTTTCTTAACCTATCGCGCTACGACTTTGTGCAGCGTTGCCCACAGATGGTGAATTTTTTTTTGTAAAATTTGCGAAGAACGAACTTACCTGAGGAAAAAGTAAAGAAACAAAAAGGCTTAGCTCCTATGCAAACGCAGCGACGCCACCGGTCTACAAACAACACGGCGCCGTTTCGCACGGGAGACAAGAGATGGCGCAACAAACGCCGCCAACGGACGAGCATACGGCGCCGAGAGCAGGCCTTTTTAGCAGACGATCTTTTCGACTCAAAAGCGGCGCGCGTTCCGCACGGCGACAGTCGCAGAAACAAAAAGACAGGCGCGGTAACAGCAAGGAACTGCAGTTCCTTGTCTGCAAAAGGGCCGGCTCTCGGCGTCGTCTGCTCGTTCGTTGGCGGCAGTTGGCGTCGCAACCGCTTGCGCCATCTCTTGTCTCCCGTGCGAAACGGCGCCGTGTTGTTTGCAGACCGCTGGCGTCGCTGCGTTTCCATAGGAGCTAAGCCTTTTTCTTTCTTTACTTTTTCCTCAGGGTAAGTTCGCTCTTTGCAAATTTTACAAAAAGAAATGCACCATCTGTGGGCAACGCTGCACAAAGTCGTAGCGCGATAGGTTAAGAAACCGAATTTTCCGGTCGATTTAAAGAGCCTTGCGTCTACTTGTTTCACCCGGTAGTTTGTGGACTATTGTAAGGAAAAGACGAGGCATGTGTACTTACAATATTTGAAATTGCCGTGCTTATAGTATAACCTCCCAAAGACAGATGACTTGGTCGTCTTAGATATAAACCTGGCAACGATGGAAAACTTAACTCGATTAACCGGCACCATTTAATACATTACTTCATCGATTGATCAACAGCGTTAATTTTTACGCATAAAAACGCTAAAAGGTCAAGGGCGCATTTTTGTCTCGTATGCTTTTTTTTCTCGTTATAATCGGCGCAATATGCATCTTCAGCTGGGGATAAACATGTGCGGTTCAGTACGGCCGAAATCTTTCGCCGATAATTGACCTTTTCCACATACCGACGGCACCAGGCGGTGACTGCACGAACGAAAAATCGAGGAAGTGACCTACCTGCGCTACCAATCGATAATGGGGGCTACACTACCAATTTCTTCGCTTTCTGAGCAGCTGCGCGTGTCCAACGCGACTTTAAAAAGGGAATCCTTGGCGTCCACCCAAACGTCGTGTTTTCCTTTCCGTCGACTTTTTTTTTTTGTGTAACACAATTATATATATGCTGCAGTTACGTGTTTTACTCGCTGATATACAGCCTCCTTCCGAATTTTCTCGTTTTTTCGTTCCGACTTCCGCCGCTTGGCATCGGGCGCTCGCGCGTGCGCAGACCGCTTCTCGGAAAAGGTCCATTGTTCCAGCTGATATAGTTTTCTGGCCTTCTCCGACGTGAGCGAGTTTCCTGCTTCTTCAAAATCATCCTTGCTGCACTATATAGGCAGGCTCTCAAGAGACGTTGAACCAGAAGAAAGAACTTTTTTTACAGCGGCTAGGTTCCCCAGGAGCGTGTCCGGTATGTCGACGGAAACCTGTCTGGACAGCTACGCCATCTATAAGCGACGGTGGCAAGTACAAAATCAGTATGGTTTCCGCCGTCGCTCGTAGATGGCGCCAACCTTTCCAGCTATCATAGAAGAATGGATAGTTTTGCGGCGTGTTGGTGGGAATTCATCGTAGGAAGCAGCGCGAAAAACAGACGACGACGAAGAAGAAGCACACAGTGTATCGAGTACAGCTCCGCTGGTCTTCCTTCTTCACGAGAGTGGAAAGGCTGAACGATTTTGTTTTCATGACCGACACTTTTCCAGTACTGGAAAAGCCCTGCGATCGCCACTGCAGTTCGCCGTTCGTCACGTCGGCTGTGGAACTGTATACAGCGACTGCGAGACTATAGGCTTTTCCGTTCGCCAGTCGACACCGTGTCCCGTCGACCTCTGCCGTCGACATCGAGTGGCGCGAGCTGCGGCTGGACCATTGTGAAAGTCGGCTGCTTTGAGAGGATTATCAACGACGGCAGAATCTACCTCAAGAATAAATTATGAGTGAGGGGAAAATCGCCGCTGCCGCCACGCTGATTCCCGAAGAAATGCACCAGCATTTCGCGCAGCGGTTGTTGCATTGTACACAGCGTAACTTGAGCCAAGATTTAAAATATATTGGAACATTTTAGGAACACGAAACCAAACGAATAAGTTCATTCACTGTTTACAGCAAGTCAGGCTATTTTTGTATTTAGCCCAGCTAACAAATTAATGAAGATTAATTAATTAACTTTTGAAGTATTCAATTTAGAGCAAAATTTCCAAGGACAAAGTTGTAGAGGGTCTTCAGAAACATCCAATCCAGTGGTTTTTATTAAAAAAACCTCTAATACGCTTCGTTTTTCGGGCGTAAAAAAAGTGCCCAAGTTATAAAAAAAAACACAAAAAAGTGCGAATTCGCCCACAGCGCCCAGTCAACGGCGCTCTATTCAGCGTGCAGGCCTAGTTTATTCAATCCACGGCTGATATCGCTGCAATACAGGGTGCACATTGGTTATCTCGCAAGTATTTTTCATAATTCGCATACATTTTTCGAAGCTCATAAAAATAAGTGTTAAGGTTTCTTGATAAAAACCACTAAATTGAATGTTCCTAAGAACGCACTATAACTTTGTTTCCGGAACTTTTGATCTAGATTGAATATTTCAAAAAGCGAATTAATTATTCTTAATTAATTAGTTAATTGGGCAAAATACAAAAAAAATCTTCTGATTTGCTTCAAACAATGAACACACTTATTCGTTTGGTTTCGTCTTCCTAAAATGCACCAAATATTTTCAAACCTTGGCTCAATTTACGGGAATAACCTGTATATAAGAAAGCGTGGTGTATGCAACCTCTCAGCACTTTTTCGCGGGATAAACATTCCAGAAATCTCTCTTTTCCCTTGTGCAAGCAGATCAGGTCACTTAGCGTGTGCACGAAGGGCCTGCGCTCGATGCGCGGAAAATGACAAAGCTATTTTGTTGTTGTGCTTACAGGGGCGACAACACCGTGCGCTTTTGCCCTGGTAGCATGGTAAGACGACTGCGCGTCAAGTTTAAATAATATGCTGCATAGCGTAATATTTGAACTTCTAGTCCGCAGACTATGGTCCGGAAAATACTGTACATGTCTGCTTACAATATAGAGTTATAGAAGATTGTTTCGACACATCTGATAATGGTACCCGACAACGATACGCAAAGGCGTTGGCGGCGATTCAGGTGCCATTATCGCTGTCGTTGGAACGATCTACTAAAATTCGCTAATGTCTGAGATAGCTCTACGGCGGTTGAACTTATGAAAAAAAGAATGACTTAGTCGTTTTATATATCCTCAAATTGCGTTCGCAACAGGGAGGGCCCCTATTTTGATAAACACGACTCGCTTATGGTTCATAGCCCGTTTTTCTAATGAGCAGTTCTAAAGGCATGACGTGCAATTACTTTATTAACATCGATCAGTTTTGACTAGTCTGTGTTTCATTTAATTTCATTCATATTCTCTTTAAGGTCCCCGTTAGGGGCATTACATAAAGGGGAAAGGGGGGGGGGGGGGCAGGCAATACAGGGAAACATACGAGTGGAAGTTTTTTGCAGATGGTAAACAAAAACAACATAATAATAAATTGTGGCCAAGCGGTGGCCACACATAACCCCCCCATGACACTCTTTATACAATAATTGACGATGATACAGCATGTTTAAAAAAGATCAGGGTCACTGATGTGCTCTTTATGGTCTGGCAGATTATTCTATTCTAATAGAGCCACGGGGAAAAATGAGTTCTTAAAAGTGACAGTGGAGCCAGGGATGGGACGGGTGCCGGCCTGTGCCCCATGTGCAGGCGGCGGTTCCCGCTGGAACAACCTGCACCTGCCGGGCTCTCCGTACGACAACGTGACGCTGCTGCACATGGTCGTCGTGGTGTCCGTCTACTGCCTGATCTACGCGCTCTTCGTCTGGTACCTGGACAACGTCTGGCCCTGGCAGTACGGCATACCCAAGGAACCTCTCTTCTGCTTCAAGGTGACCGGCCGCTAAATGAAAACCCGCTTCCCTTTTATTACGGCGGGTGGTTCCATACATAGCTTGCATGTGATGCCATTTGTGGCCATACGAGTATTGTATGCGCCGCGGGCGCTCGGTTCGCCGTGTTACTTTCACATGCAGAAGTTGTGGTTCGAAGAAAGCTGTAAGTAGAAATATCCGTCAGCACCCAGCAACTGCGACACTTGCAAGCGACCCTTTTCTTTGCAAACGTCACCAGGCTGTGCTCCAGTGTTAGACGTCCCAGCGAACTTCTGGTTTACAAAAAGAATGAACAAAGCCCACCTTAGTATCGCTGGTTATACTTGTAATTTGAATGTAATATTTAACCACCAATTCTCCAGGTAAAGGCAAAAAAAAAAAAAAGCGCGAGATCAGTTTAAAGTTTTTGAATATTCTTGTAAACTAACCTGTCTCCTCCGAAAGGCCCCCGCTAAATCTCCAAATTAGTTTTCCGTGCAGCATTTGTGCTTTCCAGCACTGGTGACATACGCGACCCCGACAGGCTTGCAAGGACGGAGCGACTGCAAGTCGCTTGGGACGCAAAGAGCGATTAATCTTTGTAAACAACAAAAGGGCGATGTACGCAGAAGCGTACATCTGAGACAACATGGACTTGCTTGACCCCCGGCTCTTGACCACTTGACGTTGCGTTACCACGTGACACGGTGACTGGGCTACGTGACCTGACACCAGTGACACGGTGACGTGGTGGACGCCACAGGACGTGGTACATGACATTTGACCTTCGGCAGTTCCCCTCTGATCACGTTATGTGACGTAACACGTTGCCGCGGCCACGTGACCTGCTGGCAGGTACAGTGCTAATCACACTTGTCTATAACGCGCGAGTGTGCGGCTTTCTCCGGGGAGCGCTAGACTGGTGGCATTCGCGGAAACTAAGCTAGTCACTTGGCGCAACATGGAACGGCCTGCTCGAGGGGGCCCTGCCCATACTATCAGCTGGCGGCGAACGCGGTGTCATTACGGCGATCAGTGCTTTTGTAGGATTCTCTCGATACTATGTGCAATCCTGTTGAATCCGGTCCATTGATATACTTTTGTGTTTTGCATAGTATGAAGCCTTATACCAGCTTGATAAGCTATAAAAGTGTTTCATGATATATATATATATATATATATATATATATATATATATATATATATATATATATATATATATATATATTATATATATATATTTTTTTTTTTTGATGACGACATTTTCGATACGCCTTCATGCTTTAGTGTGTTTATTGTTCGAGCAATGATTTTTCTAAACAAAGCCTGCGAGCAGACTTCCGCGTTCGCCTCCAGCTGATAGTGTGAGCAGGACACCCCTCGAGCGGGCCGTTCCATGTTGCGCCACGTGACTAGCTTAGTTTCCGCGAATGCCACCAGTCTAGCGCTCCCCGGAGAATCCGCACGCTCGCGCGTTATAGGCAAGTGTGATTAGCACTGTACATGGTCACGTAACCTGGTGCTCACAGCTGCGGTATGGTCACGTGAATTGACGCCAAGGGATATGGTCACGCGACCTTTAAGGGTCGACTTTTGATTACTTAACCTTAGAGTATCACCTGACGCGGTGGCGTGGTTTTATGACCTGATCACGACATTATTGTTATGTTCACGGGATGTGGACATGTGACCTTTGACCTTTCATTGCTTGGCGGCACAGTATCACGTGACGCGGTGGTGTGGTCACGTGACTTGACGGAACTGAGATATGGCCATGTGATGTTCGACGATTTATCTTTAAAAAGTAGCGTCACGGTGTCACGTCACACGGTGACATGTTCAGGTAAGCTGACACCACGTTACGTAGGCCTGGGACTTCATGGCACGCTACCACGTAACGTGACCTGACGGCACGTTAGCATGTGACGGAACCACGAGTTTGACGGGAAACCTTGAACAGATTCTCTGTTCTGAGGCGTTTGACGGAAAACCAATCATTAACCAAAAATGCATCCGGAGTTCCGTGATGTTGATTCCCTTAATACTTTGAAACCAGTTTCGCACCAGTATATTAATTCCGAAAAATACACGCCGATTATTAGGGGACCTGGAGCAGAGTCCCATATTAGATTCACTATGTCTGTCGGAGTCGTTCCTCGGACGCGAACCGCGAGAAACTTGAAGCTTCTTCATAAATCCCCGAATACACTCAAACCAGTTTATATCAAACTCGGAAAAAAAAGTCTATTAGTTTGATATAGCGGGTAATTCGATATAATAGTTTTATAGAATTTGACTCTCGAAAATCCACTTTCTGCTGACTTACTACACAATGAAATAGTCTTGCATCTTCTGCTGCTTTTTCTTCATTGCATCCGTGATAACAATATTTTTCCACGCTATCGACGGGCTCCAAAATGCTGAGGTCATTACCTTCTATATTCGCGCTTTAGCGCCGAACTATGCTGGGAGCACGGAGCACGTCCGAACAGAAGAACCTTCTCATGCAGAGCGCCGTTTTGCTCTGCAAGTTGGCTTTCCCAGAAGGCGGCGGCTGCGTTGGGAAAAAGCTAGCTAGCAGAGCAAGCGGACTTTTTTTTTTCTTTAGGGCGGTCGCGGGACAGGGAGCACGGAGCGTTCTCTCCCCGCTCCCTCCGCAAAAGAGATTTTTAATGCGATATCATCAGTCTGAAGCGCGAAAACGGCAGATAGTTTTCTTCGGTTCCATTGGCTGGCGCGCGTCGACGGGGCTCCCATTGGCCGCTGCGCTCGGCCGTTTCCACGACCGCTCACCCCATGGCACTGCGTGTCACAAGGGGAGCACACGCGCCGGGCGGCGACGAAACGTACGAGGCAGACGACAAAGGGAGCGGACGAGCGGCTTGCATGATTGCGCATTCAGAACTCGTAAGAAGTGCTTTTGTGTACCTCGATCTTTTTTTTTCTCCAAACAATCAACGCAATCACCTGAAAAAAAAAAAAAAAAAATTTAGCATGTTTTGCAAGTTAGTTTTACTCCCATGCAGCCGCTCGCGTTGGGGAAAAGCCAGCCTGCAGAGCAAAACGGCGCTCTTGGCAATCCGATTTATCGGTTGCGGCTGCTATTTTTGTTCCATGTAACCGTAGTTTTTGCTATATATTATCACTGTAACATTACTGTGCACAAACATTGTTCGATATAAGAGATGATTCGATATAAATGGGTTCGATATAGTCGGGTTTGACTGTAATATTTGTTGATATTACCAAGCGGCGATTAAACAAACGTGGAGTAAACGGGATGCCTTGCGCTTGAGCGTACGGTTGACTCGCTTCAGCGTCTACCGAAAGTTCGTATCATATCACTGCGATGGCGTACTTTTAAAGGACCATACCAGGAAGTTAGAACCTTGAAAGTAAGTTTTCGGTCGGTCATTATTAACCTTAACTCAGGAAATAGGGTCAGGTCGATACTGTGCTTTACCCCATAATACGCGCCTTCACTCTTTCTTACGTTATCGAAATTTGCTTAAAACCGCCGTGACGGTTCCAGTTTTAGAACAATAAGCACACGCTTCCTGTGCAACACCCCTGACGCTGGAGATGATTGATTTTGTCTTGCTTTCGATGTCTAGAGCTCAACCGTACCTACATGAAGATAATTAGGGTTGTTACGGAAACAACTCACGCAAACCACTTGGACCTTGAATCAGAATAAAAACGTACACATTTTTCAATATAGGTACAAAACGAGCGTGTTGGTAACAGTAATTAAACATGAGGAATATACATAGACAGGGTAATGGTTGAGTCCTGTCACCACCTTTCTGCCCCCAGCCTATCCAAGCAGATTAGTTGCCTCATCAAGGCAGGATACCCGAGAGACCTGATTGAAACAACAATCAAAAGACTTGACGCGGGGCAGAAGTCCAAACCCCTCCCTCCTAAGTCACGCTTCGCATGCATCTCCTACATACACAACACCTCAAATCGCCTGAAATCTATCGCGCTCGGCTTCAACACCAACGTTGTATTTTCCTGCAAGTTCAAATTAGCTTGTATTTGTAGATAGGTCAATAACCCCGGTCCGGCGCCCCCGTGCCAGAAAAAGCAACAGACCAATTATGTAACCTGCTGCAAAGAGTGCGTGTATTTGATTCCCATGTCCGGCGGTGTTAAATACATCGGACAGACGGGCCGATGCCTAAACGATCGGGTGAGGGAACATGCAAACGAGATCAAGAAAGCCGCCTCCGACATTTCGGAGATTAGTTACCACCCGATTGCCAAACACACCTCTGAGTGCAGCGAACCCTGTTCGGCCGACCTTCCCTCGACCACCAGGATTGGAGGTCACGCCTCAAGATACGGACGAGAGATCATGGAGGCCTTCGCCATGCGCCACAGTCACAACAACTTCGGGTCCCCGTCCATAGGCTTTCCCACTTTTCAGTGTAGCGTCTTTCACCCTCCCCTCCTTCACCTATATATGCAAATTTCGGGTCAATAAATGTTGTTGCTAGTTGGAAGTCTTCGTTGTCCGTCCCCCCTTTCTATGTATCTTCCTTATGTTTAATTTTCGATATAACTTCTTTTTTTTTTTTCAGGAAGGGTTTTATTACATGCCAGGAAATTAAATGTGATTTGAGTCATCATCTAGATCGGGATTGAAATGTCTATTTTAATCACTTTGATATTTTTCCTTCATCCTGCGCTTGATTGAAAGGCGACGCTTATGTGGCTATATTCGAACTTTCTTCTCGTAACGAAGAGGGGGCTGTGGGGGTACGTCAGTTTAGAAGGGTCTAACGGATGTTACTGTAACGGTTGACAATAGGGAGTTTTTCGTAGATGGTTGTCGTCGTCCCGCAATGCTCTGCGCAACCCGCTAGGATACCCGGAACTCTACAGTCAAGGCCATGGGCGCGCAGGCGCAGAAGCGGCTTCTTCGTTGCGGAGGGCTTGGCGGAGGGGGAAACGCGGTCTGCGAAAACTCCCTAATATTAAGTGCGAACGCTTCTGAAGTGCCCGTATTGGCAGCCGAGTTCTCCGGCAATTGGGCAGAATGTTAAATTAGTTGTTATAGTACTGTAACTGGTATTACTACCAGTATCTTATAATATTAATCCCGAGGCTTCTGAAGTGATGGTACTGCCAGCGGAGTTCGGTCAGAATACGAGAAAAAAATGAAAGCCGTTTACAACTCCCTGTAACGCCGAATTAGAGCGCAGCTCTTGAGGAGGAGGAGGGCAGGATACTGAGGGTTTCGTGTTCTCGGGGGAGGGGGGGGTGATCACGTGACCTGGGGGAGGGGAGACTTGACCTCGGGGGTCACGTGACCTCGTGGAGGGGGGGTCACATGACCCCCCCTCCCCGAGGTGCTCCCGAAGGAACCCGAGGTCCTCCCGAGGTCCTCCCGAAGGAACTCGAGGTCCTCCCGATGTTTTCCCGAAGGAACCCGAGGTCCTCTCAAGGTCCTCCCGAAGGAACCCGAGGTCTTTCAGGAGGACCTCGGGTTCCCTGGGTAAACTTTACCCATAATGCAGCGGGCGGTTACGCCGACGGTGACGGCGACGGCGAAGCCGACGCCGCTCAAGTCCCATACGGGCGCCTAAGAGCAGCGCTCTAAAAATGTGTTAAATGGGACAGTTTGCGGCTGTAAGCGGCATTCCTTGCAGTGACGGTACAGGCTACCGAAGATTGTGAGATCAGTGGGTTTGGGACTCTAGCCGGCGTTAATCCTTCCAGTGTTATGTCCAAGGACCGAGCAGTAACGATAGTTAGCGACAACGCCTTGTAATGAAGGAAGAATCTAAAATTAGTCGGCTTGTGGTTATAACCGGGGCTGCTATAAGCATCTTCCAAAGTTAATATCGGGCACTCCCGCAGTGGCGCTACTGGCAGCCGCCTTCTTTTCACTCTATGAAGACGGAAGCTTGCTCGGACTCGCCAGACACCGACGTCCTCGTGGAGGCGCAGGAGAAGAGGGCACTTCCGGGCATCGCGCTTTACAACGTCACCAAGGTGAGCACCCTAGTCGAAGGTGTAGAATAAAACCAATATGATTTAACTCGTAATTTATATCGAACCAGTTTCACCACGATAATTCAGATCAAAGCACTCTCGGGAAGGGAATCCCGAAAATAATTTTTATTTAGCGTTTGTCTTTCATATGTTGCTTTGGTATTTAAACCAAAGAATCATCGAGCGAGAAGTTATATCAGGCTAAACACGAGAAAATATACGTGATCTGCAAAAATCGGAACGTTGAGCTCGATTTCTACCTTTCACCATGTTTGTCAAATACGTAACATCGTACTGCAACAAAATAAGAACGCGAAAGGAAAAAAAATATTTTAACTAGCTAAAGAAATTAAGTTGTTTTGCTCTTGCACTTTGCAGTTGCAGTAATTTCTTCCGCGTCGTTATCAGTGAATGGACGACTTGATCAAGCAATTTGCCATGTTGAGAAATACATCTAGTGGTAAAGAATCACAATTTTCTAGCTTCAGCGGTTTAAGTCAAATAAATCTGATTTTAATCAGATAAACTTTATATAAATAAAATAAATTTAATATGTATAAAACATATTTTAAATCAAATACATTTGATTTAAATCAAATAAATCGATTAGAATGCAATAAATATCCTTTTATCAATTTAAAAAAAATCCGGAATTTCGTTATGTTGTTTTTGTGTATTCTACTTTCGTGGGCGAATTTCTATTTTTGTAGGTACTGTTTTAGAGTTATTTGATTTAGTTTTCTGAAGATTCATTGCAGTGTCACGGTATAAACTAAGAAAATGCCTCACACGCTGCGGCCCTGGCACCCCACTACGCCTTTTTACGAAAAACAATACCATGAAGCAACGAAGAAGGTCACATTTATGTTTATGTGATCACTCGCAAGGCAATGCATCTCCGTCCTCCGGCATGGTCTAGTGGTTAGGATACCTGGCTCTCACCCAGGAGGCCCGGATTCGATCTCCGGTGTCGGAACGGTTTTTTTCTTTTTGTTATTTGTTTTGGACTGGGCTCAATTTTACGTTTAGGCTACACTTGTATCCGTCTCGTTTCAGTAAAGCTGTGACCGCTATGTCATCATACTTTTCTTTCTTGGTAGAAGACTGGTGAAGTCAGGGGTTGGGTATCACCTATTGTCTTGATCAGTTATTGGTGCATATTTTTGAAATGAATCATGTGTTTTTCTTTTAGCGTTCTGAACGAAGGCTAAAAATGGAGTAAGAGAAGTTAGCAGTCAACAAGTACAAGATAACTATTAAGAAAATAAAGTGCTATCCTGACCAGAAATGTACAAGTTACTGAAAAAAAGTTGTTAAGTTACTGAGTATCGACTTGAAAAGTAATTTGAATGCAGTAAAATGAGTATATTGGAAACAAATTGAGGAAACTTCAATATACCGTAATAAAGTAGCAAATTACTCTTGGATATACTTTTTTATATTTTCTTATGATAGCAAGAAATTAAAGAGATTTTTATCTATAGGTGAAATTCAGCTAGCATAATATAAAGACAGTCATTTTCTGATATCATTAAAAAAAAAAAAAAAAGCTCTCTTAGCTCGAAGAAGATATTTTCGCTCCGAGTTCTTGTGTGAAGGTTATGCTTCTGACTGCCTAATATGTTTTTCTTTTTTTATAGATGACGTATTGTGGCTGTACAATTTCTACTTCGAAATGTTTGCACTATCTGAGCTTGGTGTCGCAAACAGCTTCCACGTTTATTATTTTTTATATGACAAAAGAGGTTGGAGGAGTATTTACAGTTTCTCGAACGATCTCGGAACCTTGGTCAACTTGCATAGTCTGAGTGTCGAGAGAAAAGGGCAACGTAAAGTGGTTGCTTGTGTGTTGTTCTTTGGCACGCGATTCTTCAAGTACAGCACAAAACTAGGAGCTCCACACGAGCTTTGGAGCTGGTGCTACATTTTGTTGCCTTTTAGGCTGAGGATGTAATGTATGTTTGATAATCTCCTGTAATTGGGGAGACTTCGTACCGTAGCAGAGAAGGAGGGCTCCTGGAAACAAGCTCTTGTTGGTCTCCGGGAGCTAAGGGACACAAATAACGTCAGTCTTTGGCGTTAACTCAGCGGTTAATCAGCCTCACTTAATTACACACTGAGCCATTGAGAACGACGGAGAAGCTTACCGGGCCCTGAAAAGGTAGCTTTCTGTCCGAATTTTGTTGATTTGAAGTCCTCTCCCGTTTTGCGTATATCAGCTGATCTTCCGACATTTTAGTATTTCTTGCGCGTAATATGTATTGACAAGCAAACCTACCACTAAATTGCGCAAGTAAATTTTAACCCGACTAAAAGTTGCTCTGAAAAGGTATTTACAGTAAACTGAACTAATTACCGGAAATCAATATATAATTGTAAGTTACCGAGTTACTCAAAAAGTAGTTAAACTGCAGAAACCTGAGTAGAGTAGTTGAATGAATACGTATAGATGTCTAATCCTGACAAAAAAAAAAAAAGAATACCACAAAAAAGCAACAAAATGTCAGATGCCGTAGCCGACCACCCTTTTACGCCTATTTTCAAAATATTATTGTATTTGATCGTAGGGACTATGTCAGAAGGCACATAATGTGCAGAGTGCGTTGAGCCTTTCAGAGCTCGTCGTAGGTACACGACAATACAAACGACTCTCGTCATACAAAGTGTGACTGTCGTGCGAACTTGTGCGTAACGAGCTACAAGTAATTGATTACTTGTGATCAGTTAGAGTTTATTCTAACTTTTTAACGCTTCAGTCACTTTTTCTTCTGCGGTAAAGGTCGTGGCTTTTCAGTTCGTATTTTGCTTTAATCAAGGCAATCAATTATATGTTTCCGAAAGAAATTAAATGATTGAGTTGCGTATTTATTTTACGTAAAACAATTGCTCTTTTTGGCCGTGCGTCACTCGTCTATGTTGCACCAACTTTGTACACACGTTTTGACCCCTAAACAACTAAAAAAAAATCCAAGAAATCAGAAGGATTAGAATTCTCCGGAGCGTCCGTCCACGGACGGCTCATATGCACGCCACTGGGATATCCACGAAGCCCTACCAACCACATTTGGAGTCGACATTTATAGAAGAAAGGTCCTTGGTCTGGCTGGATCTGTTGTGACTGAAATGGTCAAGCGACTCAAGACCAAGCTTCACTGCAGTCTTCATGTGTTTTTCATAACTTTTTCACGAGCCTAAAGCTTGTGCGAAAGCTGTCATGAATGTGGGTAAAACGCACAGGGACCGCTGGAAAAAACAGAATTGAAAAATGCCCTTTGCTCTCACAAAAATACATGAGACAAGAATAGAGGAGTGCTTGACTACAGAGTGAACGTTATTTATGAAATCATTATTTGCCGCTGGAAAGATAACAGCACTGTGACAGTCGTCTCCAATGATCATGGCATTCAGCCTGAACAGCAAGTGAAAGGCTATTTACGGGGAAAAGGTTGCAATGTTCAGGCGAAGCAGCCCTTCTTGATTGAAAAGTACAATGCGTACATTGGTGGCGTAGATTGTTTTGATCAAAACATTGCTAAGTATCGCACATCGTTCAAAGGAAAGAAGTGGTACCGTTGCCTCTTTACCTATCTTCTGGACGCTTCAGTGAACAACGTGCTGCAGCTACACAAGGAAGCGAAGGAGAACGCTGAGCACCTCACAGTACGTAGGTCAATTGCGGTGTTCTACCTCAATAAATATGACTGCAACCATCCCGGTCGACAGTTTGCTCTGCAGACAAAGCCGCTGAAACCCCACGGATCATTTTGTCATTCCACAAGGAAGGCAAACAAGGTCTGCTCAGTGTCATGAGAAAACGACCACTCAATGCGAGAAGTGCGATGTTGGTATCCACGTCAAATGCTTCAAGGTGTATCGCAGCGCTCTTTAGTAGTGTATGTGCCTAGTGTCCTATATGTAGGATGGCCCTGATGAAAGGCATGCAAAGGATGCAGAGCCAGTAAAAAATTGTTATGCCTCTTTAGACCGTTTAAAATATGATAATGATAAAAGTTTCAAGTTATGATCTTTTTTTAAGTTTACGTGCAACTTGGTGCAACCGACTTGGTGCAACCGATCTCACACATCGAGGAAGTTGAGGCCGCTCTCGACGTGTTGCTCGAGTCGGGCTATGTGAGAGTCCTAAAAACGGCGAGCCAATTAAATAAATTAGAAAAAAACTATGGCTGGCACTGGGTTCAGAACAGCCCCTAATCACCGCCGCCCCCTACCCAGCAATGTAACACCTCCGAGGCACTATCAGATTTTCTGACCAGATATTGTAGAAGTTAGCCTCTACAGCAGCTGAAAGATGAACTGGAGGTACAAGGCACGGTACCAACGTTCCTGGGTTCTTTCTGGAGACAACCTCGTGACTCATTCTCCAAAACGCCACTGCTAGGCATGGTAAATAATACATAAAGGTTTTTATAAAAAGTGCAATGAAAAAAATGGGTTCTGATTCTGCTACCCCCGGCTTAGCCACTTATTGTGCTGCGTAAAGACCGCCCAATACGAGGGGGGAGGAGTTGCTTGAAGAAGTCGATCAGGTGTCTTGTGATGGGTGATGTTCAAGATACAGAGAGTGTATGGTGTAAAATTACGTTCTGAGGCAAGAGATATGTAAGAGGAGCAATCTACAGACCTATCTGACCGTCTGTCATTCATGTTGTAAATAAGTTACAATTTTGCCGTCACTAACTTTATTGATGAGGATAATCTTATTATTTCTTGCGATTTTAAGTTACCCTAAATAAGTTGAAGCACCCTCGAAGTCGGTAACAGAGACGTGGAACAATCTGAATCCCCTCTTGTTTTGATGTTTGGCTTGTATCTAACACAGATTGTAAACGAGGCTACCCGATCAGGAAATACTGACTGAAGGTTCGGGACTCGTTCCTCGCTCCCATCGTGTTTTCGGTTGTTTTGAGCAAAAAAGCTTAATACCCATCGAACGTATACAGTATGGTTTTAACTTGTGAACTGTGATAGACACACCCGAT